TATACATATCTTCATCACTCTGATATCTTTAGGGATTGATTTTTTTCCCTTTTTTTTCGAATTTTCTCTTCCAAAAATGGAAGAATATTATTCTGATAAGCGGAGGGAAAATCATGATCGTGATGATGATGATGATCAGGAGTTGTTTACGGAGTTGGACATGGCGGCGGCTCAGCAGCTTATGCAGCTTAGCGATGAAGAAAACCACAGCAACAAGGAGAACATCATAGATGATCATGATCATGATGAAGAGGTTGATCAGAGATTAATGAAGATTATTAACAATAGAATCCCAAGATTAAGAAGTACTTTGGAGAAGATTGAAGAGATTTTTGGGAAAGAAGAAGAAGAAGAAAAGGATGAAGAGATTTGTGGAATTCGGCCTCCGAAAAAGCGGAAATATCGCTCTCTTGCCAGCATTTACAGAGAGACAAAAACCACTCGTGATGATGATCATAATATAATTACATTTGGGAAGACGAAGAAGAAGAAGTCTTCATGAAGATTAATACCCTAGTGGGGTTTTTTTTTTTCTTTTAAGGTAGGAATATTTCTAATCTTTTTTATTTTTTTCAAGTCATGGATATATGAACTTTGTTTAAAGAGGTTTTTTGATGCTTTTTCCCCCCCATAAATGGAGATTAATATGTTATATATCTTCTTTGGCTTTGAATTAGTTTTAAGTTGCAATGTGTCCATTATATATATATATATATATATACACACACATATTATAAATGGGGCTTGGCGTGTTCATGAGTTTTTAGTTCAGAATTCTTTGATCTCTTCCACCTTTGCTCATCACTTATTTATAATATATATATATATATATATGCACACACACACACACATATTATAAATGGGCCTTGGTGTGTTCATGAGTTTTTAGTTCAGAATTCTTTGATCTCTTCCACCTTTGCTCATTACTGCATCTTTTGGTGATTATTTTTTGTTAGATTATATATGTATGTCGATATTAAAATGGGAACTACTGCCTTTCTTTTCCCAAATAATTTTGATGAAATATGGATTTTTTTAACTATATTAGATTTTTTTTGCCTCATTCTTAATTATATGGATTTTTTTAACAATTAAGTATTCTACTATTGGGGGGTTATTAAACCATACAATAGTACTGAATTTTGATAGTCCTTCTTTTCTTCTACATAATTAGAAAAGAATACATATCTTATTTTTCAGTATGCACTTTTTGTTTGTTTGTGAGTTTTTTTTTTTTTTTTTCATAATATTTATAACTACTACGTGTAGGGCCT